AAAAAAAAAAAAAAGTAATAGTCCTAGGAGACTGTGAAGGTCTACTTCTTGTTGTTGTTGTTGTTATGTGCTATCGAGTCGGCCCCGACTCACAGCGACCCCTCCTTGGGTTTCTGAGGCAGTATCACTGTGGAAGTAGACTGCCCCATCTTCCTTCCAAGGAGTGGCTGGTGAAGGTCTACTGGGACATAGTATAAACATGCCTATGTAAACCGTCTAACATGCCCTTCAATATCTATACAGGTAGCCACACATCTTGCTCTCCTGGTAAATGGCAGGTTAAGGACTAAAATCCAAGTTTTCTGATTTTTTCTTTCTACCACATTTTTGCTGTTCCATATATTTTGTTCTATTTGAAACAGTTCAAAGTGATTCAGTCATGGCTAACAAAGCAAAATCAGAACAGACCTGAATTTTTAAAATTTCACTGACGTGGAGTGATAACCAAAATGGGAAAATTATTGGTTGAAGCTCTGGCATGGGAAACTCTGAATAGGTATAGCGAGCCCTTTCAGAAGCCTGATGCAGGTTATTGGATATTTTCCAGGACTGTGGAGAGTGACATACATTCAAATCAGTATGGTTGAGCACCATCTTTAAATAGGGCACAGTTGTTTCCGACTCTGCTGATCAAGAGATTTGGTTGCTATGCAATGTGCACTCTCTCTTCTCATTTTCTAAGAGGGTGATTAAGTTTCTAGTAGGATGTCAACCTGTAATTTCTCCTGTTCCAATTACATTCTTTTTGCAGTTCATTCATATTTTACAAATTCCAGTCTGTGCCAGTTTTGCTTTATTGGCCATTACTGAACCAGGAAAAACTAGTTCAAAGCCCTGGTTCAATTTCATAAACATATACCTTTATTTTGAACTTAAGCTTGAAAGTGGACAAAATCATTAAACTGCTCTATGCCTCAGTTTCTCCATCTATAGAATAGGAAAACAATTTTATTAAACTTTATAATATAGTGAGATTTAGAATCACAACATGAGTTCCAGCTCCAGTTTGTCTTTTATTTTGTGATCTTGGATTAGTTATTTAATCTCTCGGGCAGTGAGTTTAAACATCTACAAAATAAAGATAAGAATGTCACTTACTCTGGATTGTTTGATGACGGAATGAGGTGGAAAATGTGAA